ACACTAAAGCAATTGTTGAAGCAATTCTACTCAAGCTGGCACAAAAGCAATAATTCTTAATTAGAGATGGATGGAACTCCCCCAGACCAATGCTCGTGGGGAGATCTCTGCTCTCAACCTCCAGGACTGACCCTGGGGGGGTCCCCAGCCAAGGCAGGAATCTCCACACACCCCCCATGTTCTGTTGGAAGAAGCTGCCCCTGTGAAAGGGGACTGACCCTTTCTGGTAGAAACCTCAGTCCGCTCAAGTGCAAAGGGCCGCTGTGATCCCCCCCTCCCCCACAAAGGACAAGACAATTGGGGAAGGTGCGAACATTCCTGACGGGAGCGCGGCGGGCGGAGGGCGGAGGGGAGGGGCTCTGTAAAGGCGGTGCGCGCGCAGAGCGCCGTGGTTGCTTCCGGGAAGCAAAGATGGCGCTGGCTCCGTGCTGCACTGTGAGCTGGCGGGGCCTGCAGGAGAGCGGAGCTCTGGGGATCCCCTCGGGGGCTGCCGGGAGCGCGGGTGTGGGTGGAAAGGCTGGAGGGCTGGGGAGGGTTTAGCCGAGGGGTTCGGGGGTTCCCGAGGGTCAGAGCGCGGGACCTGGAAGCCGCGCGGGGGAGGGGGGGGGGGCCCTCTGCCAACGCCTTGGCTACACTGCGCAGGCGCGTCGGCGGAGTTCTGAAGAGGGAACTGCAACTCCCATGAGGCTCTGCGCGATCCGCCATTACTTTTCCCGCCATAGCGCCCTTGCCGGCCCGGCGAACCGACCCCAGGGAACGGGGATCCCAGTGATCCTCCTCGAACCCCAGAGACCCCCAACACTCATCACACAGAGACTCCAGAGGGAGGTGTGCCCGGGGGTCCCCTAAAGCCTAGCAGTGTGTTCTGGGGGTACCCAGCCCCCAGGGGAGGGGTCCTGGGGGTGCCCCCCAAAGTCTGGGGGGGAGATGTACCACATCCAGGTAAGAGGATCCCAGTGCCCCCAGTATAGCCCAGTGACCTCCCAGTGACCCTCAGTGTGGCCCAGTAACCCCCTCAGTGACCACCCAGTGTGTCCCAGTGACTCCCACTGCCCCCCAGTATGGCCCAGTGATCCTGCAGTGAGCACCCAGTAACCTCCAGTATGGCCGAGTAACCTGCCACTGTCCCCCCGTGTGTCCTGGTAATCCCCCAGTAACTCCCCAGTCCTTCTCAGTGCCCTCCCAACATTCCTCAGTCCCTCCCAGTGCCTCCTGGTTTCCCCCAGTGTGTCCCAGTATTCCCCAGTAATCACCCAGTGCCCCTCAAAGCCCCTCAGCTGTCCCCAACATATTCCCAGATGCCCTTGGCCTTTCTGTGAGTGTGGGGGGGGAAGCGTTTTTGGGGTCAGTGTCCAGGGAGGTCCTGGGGTGTGGGGTGAGATGCAGAATTTGGGACATCAGGGATGGGGTTTGGGGACAGTGGGGAGGGATTTGTGGACAAGGGAATTGGGGGTGTCAAGGAGGAATTGGGGCCATGGGGAGGCACTGCGAGAAATGGAGACACCAGGGGGGTCTTGAGGTGTTAAGAAGGGAACTGGGGACACCAAGAGGGTCTTGGGGACACCAGGGGGGTCTCAGGGTTGGGTTTAACACCAAACTGCAGCATCACCTGCTGGTGGTGCTGACCCTCCTCTCCCCCCAGGGCCCCATTAGCCCCCTCAAAGGTCCCCCAACCCCCTTTTCCATTTAATCCTCTCCTGCTACAGATCCCTTTGACCCCCCAATGCCCCCAAGACCTTTTAATTCCCCCAAAGGCCCCCAAAACCCCCAAATTCCAATCAAACACCCCCAGATCCCCCCAAATCTCCCTTCCAACCCCCTCAAAGAGGGATCACCTGGCACCCTGGGACAGGAACACAGTGGGCTGTACTGGGAGGGCACTGGGGGGGGGGCTCAGGTGTCCCACGACAAGGTGGCCCAGCTCCAGGAGAGATCTGGGGAGCAGTGAGGAGGTACTGGTCTGTCCTGGTCTGTACTGGTCTGTCCTGGTCTGTACTGGTCTACACTGGTTTGTACCCCCAATCTCCAAAGCCCCTCCCCACCTCTCCCATGACCCTCCCAAACCCCAAAGCCCGCCAGGGCCCCCCATGTCCCTGACTTGGTCCTGCTGCCCCTTGAGCATCTGCAGCTGCTGCAGAACCAGGCATTTCATCAGCAAATGTGCAGCTGACACCAAGCTGGGGGTGTGTTGATGTGCTGGAAGGCAGGAGAGCTCTGGAGCACAAGTGGTGTGAGCAGAGGCTGAGGGAGCTGGGGGTGTTGAGGCTGGAGAAGAGGAGGCTCAGGGGAGACCTCCTGACTGTCTGCAAGTCCCTGCCAGGAGGTTGGAGCCAGGTGGGGGTGGGGCTGTTCTGCCAGGAAGCAGCAGTAGGACAAGAGGGCTGGGTCTTGAGCTGTGCCAGAGGAGGCTTAGGTTGGATATTGGGAAGCAATTTTTTGCAGAGAGAGTCATCAGGCCTTGGAATGGTCTGGTCAGGGAGGGGGTGGAGTCAGCGTCCCTGGAGGTGTTGAAGGTGAGAGTGGATGTGGCCTCAGTGCCATGGTCTGGGAAGCACGGCGGGGTTGGATCCAGGGTTGGACTTGATGATCTCGGAGGTCTTTTCCAATGTGGCTGATTCTGTGATTCTGTGATTGCCATTCCTATGGCAGCACATGCTTGAGGCTCTATCCCCAGGGTGATAGAGATGTCTGTCCATATCTATCTCCAAGGTTAGTCTGTAAATGTGTGGTGTTAGAAAAGCAGGCTGAGTTCTGGGATGGTTGTAGAAGGAGAAGGAAGCCCAGAGGGCAGTGCAAGCAGGCAGCCCTGAGCTTGCACCTGATGTCCCCTCCCTGCAGGTTCCTGTCCTTGAGCCCAGGCCCTGAGGTGAGGCTGAGAAGTGGCGCGGAGGTGAGCCCAGAGCTGTCCCTGAGGTGAGGCTGAGAATAAGTGCAAGGCAGAGGTGCTGCTGAGGAAGGAGAGCCCCGTGGTGCATAGGAGGCAAAGCTGTCAGTCCCCATCCCCGAGCAGGTGCTGTGTCCATCCCCTGTGTGCCAGGTGAGCTGGGGCTTTGCTGCAGAGCTGCGGGCGCTGATTTGAGCGTCTCCAAGTGCTGAGATGGTGGGCACCCAGGAACACAAACTGTGCCTGGCCACGGAGCCTGCAAGGAGGAGCAGAGACAGCCCTGGCAGTGTGGGGGGCCAGGTTGTCCCTGTGCCTTCCCCTGCAGGCCCTGTCTGTCCCTGCTGGGCCCCTGTCCATCCCCATCAGGTCCCTGCCCGTCCCCCCGGGCTGAGCTCCCCCCAGGAAGTGCCGTGGAGCTGAAGCTGCTGCCATCCCCCCCTGCAGCCGCTGCCCCAGCCAAGGGAGCAGCAAAGGCAGGGCCAGGAGCAGAGGCAGCAGCAGGGGAGCCCTGGGGGGGCCGGGAAGGTCTTGTGTGGGTCAGGAAAGAGGCACTGGGCACGAGGCCGGGGCTGTGCTGAGCAGGCCCAGCCCTCACATCCCCCCAGCCAACGCCGGCTGCCCGGGGGGCTTGGGAGGGACCCCCAGCCCGTGTGCCCCACACTGAGCTGGCAGAGAGAGAGCCAAGGGACAGGGCCACGGGCAGGGCCACGGGTGAGGCCTATGGGACACTCCACCCGAAATCTTTCGGGGAGTCCTTTTGTGTCTGTTCTTGGTTGTTGATTTCTGCTGGGGACCTGAGGGCCCCTCTGCAATCCCATCCATGGGGCACAATTTCCTCTCCAGAGCTTGACTCACTGCAGACTTTGCAGGGAAATCTGTGCTGGCAGCCTGAGTATGTCCTGACCCCCTGTGCTCCCCCCGGATCTTTGGGACAAGTTCCCTCTTCCTGGGCATCCACAGGATGAGGGGGGAGGCACTTGTTTTCCTGCTGCTCCTGTTCCTGCTCCCCCCTTCCTGCTGCTGTCGGATCAGCGGAGCAGCCACAATGAGAAATGGGTGAGAGAAGTGACCCAGGTCACTTCCACCACTGAAACGGTGGAAGCAGAGAAAGGAAAGCCTGGATAGTGGGGGCCTCTGGGATCCCCAGGACAACAGAGTGGAGAACCTGGAGAGGGGGAATATCTGGGAACGCGGTTCCCTGAAGGCGAGAATCAGAGGAGAAGGGACCCTTGGGACCCCCAACACTCCCAGCATCCCAGACAGGGGAGACCCTCCGAACCCCAGAGGGGAGACATGAAAGAGGAGGAACTTCTGGGAGAAATTTCTTGGGATAATCTTCATATTTTGGAGTATTTTTAGCTGAATTTCAACTTTTTGCAGTTTGGGGAATTAAGGGTCTTCTTGCTATTTCTGAGGGGTTTTTGCGTGAATCTGAGTGTTTTGGGTTTTTCTTGGTCTGAATCTTAGTGTTTTGGAGGTTTTTATGGTCACAGGATGCCCGGTGAGTTCTAGAGATGGACTTGGGCAGGAGGAACCCCCAAGCCAACGCGCTCAGCCCTTGTTTTCCCCCCCCATCAGGATTTGTCCTTCCCAAGGCTTGGGCGGATGGAGGAGGAGGCTGCGAGGAAGAGGAAGATGCCTTGGTCCCCCCAGGCAGGTGAGGAGGAAGTCAGTGTCCCTTTGGGCGGGTGTTGTGCTGGCTCTGTCAGCCGAGCATGGCCCCGGCTGCAGGACAACCCCGCTGGCGCCGCCGTCCTGCCGGGGCCGGAGTTGGGGGGATGTCCTTGGCCTTCCCTGTGGGCCGGAGGCAAATCCCCTGCCTGTCCTTCTTGCTTCCTGCCCCAGGCCCCGAGGTGAGGACGGAGAGCCCGGAGGACAAATCCCCCCGTGAGACCCTGGTGGGAGAGGCCGTTTTGAAGGGCTCCCCGGCGCAGGAAGGCAGCGGGGAGGAAAAGGGCCGGAGATCCCCCCGCAGGAGGGGCTCCAAAGCCATCCCAGGGTGCTCTGAGGAGGAAAGAGCCAGCCTGTGCTCAGAAGGCGGCCGGAGCTTGAGCTGGAGCTCTGACCTGGTGGTCCCTGAGCAGCCTCCCAGCAGGGAGAAACCCTTCAAATGCTTGGAATGTGGGAAGAGCTTCAGGAAGAGCTCCCACCTCCTCAGCCACCAGCACATCCACTCTGGGGAACGTCCCTACACCTGTGGGGAATGTGGGAAGAGCTTCAATGCTAGCCCCACCCTGATCCGACACCAGGTGATCCACACTGGGGCACGGCCCTACAAGTGTGGGGAATGTGGGAAGAGCTTCAGCCGGAGCTCCCACCTCCGCGCCCACCAGCACATGCACACTGGGGAACGTCCCTACAAGTGCTTGGAATGTGGGAAGAGGTTTAAGACCAGTACACATCTCCTCATGCATGAGCAGACACACACGGATGAGAGGCCCTTCCGCTGCACCGACTGTGGGAAGGGCTTCAAGCGGAACTCCACCCTCGTCATCCACCGACGCCTCCACACTGGGGAGAGGCCCTACAAGTGTGGGGAGTGTGGGAAGAGCTTCACCAGCAGCTCTGAATTGACCAAACACGAACGGACTCACTGGTAAGGGAAGCCTGTGCTGACCCTCGACGTGATACTGCGTTACTGACCATCGGGTGACGGATGGTGGTGACGGAGCTTGGCGTAGCTGAGAGCAGTGAGGAAACTGCCTGGGCCCAGACCTGAGAACTACTGACACCTGGAAATGGTGAGCTGCCAAGAACAAAGTCTATGATAATGGGAATCAGATGTCTAAAGAGGAAAAGTTGTTGCTGTCCACTTGGAAGCACTTCCTAAAGCATAAAAGTGTATCTGTTGATGATTATGATTAGCAATGTTTGCTGCTATGGTGTCGAAAGCAAGGTTTTGAAGCTAACACATCAGTTGCATTTAGAGTAAAGACTTGGGAGAAAGTGGGGATAAACTGTGGAAAGAGTTTTATAAGGGTTCTAAGAGTACTAAGGAAGTAGAAGGTTTACCTGCCACCTGGCATGTATTGGTTGAGACTTTAAAAGACTGGCTTAATGAACAAGTTTCAGAAGGTATTCAGTTGCCTGAAACAGAGCCTCTGTCAGATACAGAAGGACTCGAAGGGGAGGAGGGAACTTCAGTTGCTGCAGCATCACTGCCTGCTACCTCCCCCTCTGATAATGAACTGCTTCCTTTAGCAGTTAAAAAGAAACAGTGTGGCATTCGGATACACATACAAAAAAATCTACCAAGAGTCCGGCTCTAAAAACCCCGAAAGGTTTGAAAGTTCACTATCCTGCACCCCACAAGCCAGTTAAAACTCTTTGTAAATACAAATCCCCTACTGCTATAGTCCCTTACCGGTGTAAGACACCTATGGAACTTGTGGAGGAATTTAAAGCTAAGCAAAGGCAAGCGTCCGCTGTTCCTCTGCCAGAGGAGGAGGAGGAGGACGAGGACACTGATGAAAACAATGAGGATGCCCCCCCAGCAGATGATGCAGACAGGGAGGAAGCTGAAAATGCCTCCGTCCTGTACATAAGGGGTCCCAGAGCCGAAAGACACGAACGCTCTCTGATCCATGGACTTTGCCGGCAGTCGCCACTGTCACAGTCATGCCACGTCATCCTAGGAGATGGTGCGTGTACAAGCTGCAAAAAGGGGGGAATGGGAGTTGTTAGACAAGATCGGGCACCCCTCACAAGCTATGAAGGACGTTGCATTTGTTCCAGGAATAGAGCCAGGAGTAGAAGCTTATCCTGTTTTTAAGGCAACTTCTAACTCTGGCAAGCAAGATGAACATTATGTATTTGCTTGGAAAGCTGTTCAGGATTTGCAAATGTATGTGGCAAAATATGGTGTGAATTCTTCTGAAGTTATACGTGTGATTCGTGCAATTAATGCTGATTTGCTCGCTCCTTATGATATTGACCATCTAGCTCAAGTTTTATTTGAACCTGTACAATACGAAGTGTTTAGTTCTAACTGGCAAAAACAGGCTGAAAGAACAACTATGGAGAATATGAGACTTCCTCCAGGGGACCCCAGACTGGGTGTAGGAGTGGAAGCCTTATTGGGGAAAATTGTTTTTGTAGCACCAATTTACAGGCCCAGTGGGATCCTATTGTGTTACAACAACGTCAGCAGGTGGGAATGTTAGCTCTGACTAAAACTATGGAGCTTGCTTCCCCTCGTCCTAGATATACAACAGTGAAACAGGAACCAAGGGAACCTTATTTAAAGTTTGTTGAACGTATTGCAGTTTCATTAGAGAAGCAGGTGGATGATGAAGTCCTGCGTCAGGCTCTCCTAAAGCAGTTAGCAAAAGATAATGCAAACGAAAATTGTCAGAAAATTATGGATGCGTTGCCAGGAGACCCGTCTGTGGCTGATATGTTCCAAAGTGGGTACTGTGGATCACCAAATGACTGCCCTTGCTGCAATTTTGCGTCCTACCCCGCGATGCTGTAACTGTAATAGAGAAGGACACCTTAAAGCTGACTGCCCTGATTAAAGCAACAGGGAAAAGCCAAAGGTCTACCTAATCCTCCTGGTATTCATTGTAACCGCTGTGGGAAGCTAGGACACTGCTAAACGTGGCTCTAAGTTTCATGCCAATGGGCAGCCTCTCCAGGGACACGGGAATGCCAGCGCGAGGAGGAGGCGCGCTCAGACACGAGTACCTTCACTGCCACAGTACAACCCGTATGCACCCCCCCGATGCTCCCCCCTGCTACCAGCTCACAGGGAAAACCAGCGGAGCAGCCAGTATGGATGTGTCCACCTCTGCAACAGTAACAATTTCTTCTACAGATATTGTCAAGGTTCCCTTAAGGGACCTATCGGACTGGACTGAGTGCTTTGTTAATCGGGTGCTCAAGTAGCACAATTTCTGGGATAATTGTACATGTTGGGGTAATTGATGCAAACTATACAGGACAAATCTGTGCCATGGTCTCTACCCCCTACCCTCCTGTTACTATTCCAAAAGGAACTCGAATTGCTCAACTTGTGCCTTTTGTGAGTTGTGTTCCCAGGACAGAGAACCAGGAGAGACATGCTAGAGGATTTGGATCAACAGGACCTCCACAAGTATATTGGTCACAGACTATTTCACACAAACGTCCACAGATGACTTGTGAACTGCATAATGGGAAAGCTTCACCTTCTGCTGTTAAGGTGACTGGATTACTCGATACCGGTGCTGATATAAGCATCATCTCCATGTATAATTGGCCAAGCTCTTGGCCTCTGGTGTCCTCTGATTCAGGTGTTGTGGGGCTGGGGGGAACTACACAGTGTTACATTGCAGCTCATTTCATCCTGATTTGTAATGGATGATATTCTGTTCTCGGCAAAAAGAAACATTGTCTGCAGTTGCAAATGCAGCTAAAGAATCGCTTCAGTCTTTTGACCTTGTCATTGCAGCAGAGAAAATACAAACTGCAGACCCTTGGAAATATCTGGGCCTCCTTGTCACTAAAAGAGCAGTAAGGCCTCAGCCTATTCAGTTACAATTGCCTATCAATACCCTAACTGATGTTCAAAAATAAGCAGGTTCGTTAAATTGGTTATGCCCTTATTTGGGGTTTACAAATTCACAACTGCAACCTCTTTTGGCACTGCTCAAACATTCCACAGATCCATTGGAACCACGATCCTTAACTCAGGAAGCAGTTCAGATCATTCGGCAGGTAGAAACATTGTTAACAGAACGATTTGTTTCTCACATTGATTTGTCTCAAATTGTTCAGCTTTTTGTTCTCATAGATCAGAACTTCCCCTGTGGGATCCTTGTTCAGTGGAACGAGGCCTGGGACGATCCTCTACACATTCTTGAGTGGTTGTTTTTACCCTCAAGATCTCAGAAAACAGCACCTGGCCTGTTTGAACTTCTTGCTGAGATTATCATGAAAGCATGAAAATGGTGCATTGAATTAATTGGCAGAGATCCTAGTTGTATTGTTTTACCTGTACAATCCTGGTATTTTGAGTGGTGTTTGAATCACAAATATGAATTGCAAGCTGCTATGGCAGATTTTCAGGCACAAATTGCTTATCATTTACCTTCACACCCTTTACTGAAATTTTTTAGTGAAGTACCTGTTGGACAAAAGCTGCTGTCATCTACGGAACCAGTGGAAGGACTCACTCTTTTTACAGATGGTTCGGGGAAAACAGGAAAAGCTGCTGTGGTCTGGTGTACACCCACAGGATGGCAACATGAACTTGTTCAACAATCCGGGTCTCCACAAGTTGTGGAACTCCGTGCTGCTACTTTGGCATTTCAACTTTTTCCTCAGCCTTTTAATCTTGTTACAGATTCGGCTTGTGTGGCAGGACTTGTACAGCGTTCAGATCAAGTAGTTCTTTCTGATTGTGATGGTCGTCTCCTCTTTCAGGTTTTGTTAATATTGTGACGAACTCTACAGTCTCGTACTGCTCCTTACTTTGTTTTTCATATTCCCAGTCACACTTCACTGCCTGGATTTTTTACTGAGGGTAGTGCTCGAGCAGACTCTCTCGTAGCACCTGCACAGATCGGGCCTGTTCCAGACAAGCGACAACAGGCTCTCCTCTCACATCAGTTTTTTCACCAAGGCAGTACTGCTCTCAAGCGACAGTTTGGCGTTACACAATCCCTTGCTCGTTCTATTGTGGCTGCCTGTCCTGATTGCCAGGGTCAGAATGTCCCTGTCTATTATGGAGCCAATCCTAGAGGATTGCAAGCTTTACAGGTATGGCAAAGTGATGTTACTCATGTCCCAGAATTTGGACGTCTCAAATTTGTGCATGTTTCTATTGGTACATATTCTCATGCTGTTTGTGCTACTGCTCATGCAGGTGAGCCTGCTCTTGATGTGATTCGTCATTTTCAACGAGCTTTTGCTACCCTTGGTGTCCCATTGCAGCTGAAGACTGACAATGGCCCTGCCTATAGCTCTCAGAAATTTCAAACCTTTTTGAATGACTGGGGAGTGTCTCATGTTACTGGCATCCCTCACTCTCCTACGGGGCAAGCTATTGTAGAACACATGCATGGCTCTCTGAAGCGTCCGCTTCAGAAACAGAAAGGGGGAATGCATGGTGAGCCCCCTCAAGCCCGTTTAGACAAAGCTGTTGATGTTTTAAATTTTTTGAGTTTTCCCCTGGATTCTCATTTCCCTGCTCTCTTTTTGCATTTTCCTCATTAGTGTCATGTCAACCCGTGACCGCTCCTGCTCCCGTTCAGGTACAGGTGTCTGGACAGTGGTCTGGCCCTCATCAACTGATAACCTGGGGAAAGGGTTACGCTGTGTCTCTGCAGATGATGGACCATGGTGGGTTCCTGCTCGGTGTGTGTGTCCTTTTTTGCCTGGGGGGAACCGGCAGTGATGACTCCTACGCGGAACAGCTCGAACGACTCAGCCCGTGGAACAGCCACAACGTCTGGGTGACCGTGATGAAAGCACTGAACCAGACTACCTTCTGTGCCTCCCTGGTGAAACCAGAGCTACCTTTTCACACATGCCTTGTTGGGGCACCTGTAAATAACTCTGATGCAGTGAAACTTGTTTCTAATGTTACACAATTACCTGAGGTAGCAACAAAGGCTTGTAATGCTTCTGCGCAGAGCTGCATCGCAAATGTAAACGACTGGCATTTCGGGTTGGTTACTGTCCTTACTCAAAACGGGGGTTGGTTAGTTTTGATAATAGTCGTGGTTGTGCAGGTAATGTTACCATGTATTGTGTCGTGTTTGCAAAGGGCCCTGCAAAAGATGACACAGGGAATATTTCTTGCACAATTACAGAAAGGGGGAATTGATGGGGTTAATAGCGGGTCTATTGGCTCCCAGGATGGAGATATTGACTGGGAAAAGTTTCGGGTGTATCCTTGATGATAAGGAAGTCAGTACGCAGCCCTAATGGAGAAAACAAAGGGAAACTGTAAAGTTGGTAGGCCTAGGATGTGGGAACTGCAATAAGGCCTTGAGCTTTGCCAAATGTATCGCCCATAGATCCTAGCCAATGAAAACGCTGTTGCTTGCTTACCCAAAATACGGATACTGCTTGCTGCTAGCAAGGGGTATAAAAAAGCAGATGAGAAAATAAAAGGAAGACATCTTTCCTGCACATAACTGACTCCTTGTATCTTTATCGGCCGTCACGAATCTACACTGACACCCCATCTTCAACTGGCAAGGTCATCCTGGGAGGCTCTGCGATTGACCCATTTGATGAAACTCTCACGCAGAGATGTTGGAACTTTATTTGAATTGATTTTTACCTTTTGGGTTTAAAAGGTCTGCAAAAACATGGTAATTCATGTCCTAGCAACAGAAATTCTTTTAAGAGGGAGTTTGGCACCCAAAGAATCACAGAATGGTTTGTCTTGGAAGGGACATAAAAGCTCATGTGGTCCAAGTCCCTGGACATGGAGAGTGACATCTTCACTAATTGAGGCTGCTCAAAGTTCCTGACCTTGGACAAATCCAGGGATGGGACATACTCTTCTCTTTCAGTTGTTGCCAGCCCCATTGGTAAGTGTTTCTTCATTTTATCCAGTATAAAGCTCCCCTATTTCAGTTCAAAGCCATTGCCCCATGTTCTGCCACTACAGGCCTTGGTAAAATGTATCCCTGTGAGTATCTTAGACCATGTTTTCATCTGCAGACACCTCGGAGAGTGCTCAGAGATTTCCCAGGGTTTGGAGGTCTCAAACATGACCACTCTATGGGGGCAAAGGAGTCATAGGTTCAGTGGTGTGCAGGCAGAGGACAGCAGAGAACCCTGGGAGTGCTCGAAGAGTTGCTTCAGAAAGGGTGAATGCTTTTGTTGTAGCAGAAAACAGCATGAGAAGGAAAGAATTAATGCCAAGTGCAGCTGGAGAGGTCCAGGCTGGCACGAGGAGAAAAGAATTTCCCTCCAAGGGCAGTGCTGTGGTGCAACACATCACCCAGAAGGAGTCGGGATGAGCCCAAGACTTTGTGTGCCCAGGAAGAGCCAGGGAGGACGCAGAGATGTCAGTGCAGGAAGGTGCCAGCCAGGTGGGGCAGCCGGGGGGATGACGACAGCCTGCAGGGAAAGGGGCAGGGCATGGACACCGTAGGACAGCCTGGGCTGGAGAGGAGACAGGGAGGGGGAGAAGCTGAAAGGCCCTGACACAGCCACCTTCTGCAGGCCTTTGGCCATGGCTGCTGTCTGTGCCCCTGATGCCAGGAGGAGGGGAGTGCCCCTTGCAGCCCTGGGGCCTCATGGCCTCCTTGTCCCTGCTCAGCAGCCTGGCAGGTGCCACCCCATGGTCCTGCCCTTGGCACTGCACATCCCACATCCCAGTGCCCCAGGAAGTGCCCTGAGGAATGAGGCAGGGACGGGATCTGCCTTCCCAAGGGCTGGTGGTAAGGCCTTGCCCCTTCAGATTAATGAAACACATCCAGGTTTCCTCAGCAACAAAGCCACCTTTCCCTTGCTTGTCCATCCTTGTCATCACTGTCTGCAGTTTTCTGCTCCAACTGGAACCTGGGGAGAAGTTCTCGGTTGTGTCCCTCAGTGAGACTCATTAGCACTACAAGAAACTTCAGTGTTTCAATCTCATTTTTACTTCTTGAAAAGTTGTTTGAACTTTCAGAGACTGAGTCTCATGTAAACAACATCAAACCCCCCAAGGGTCATGAAATGCCTGGGGCTGTTGCTGTGCTGCTGAGCTGGGCCGGGCTCCTGGCACACAGGGAGCTCCTGGCAAGCAAGAAGAGCTTCAAAGAGACAGCTCTGCTGGTGAGCAGCTCCTCTGCACAGCCCAGCAGGGCTGAGGGCACTGCCAGGGCAGCTCAGGGACACCAGCAGGGCACAGACAGAGCTTCCAGGGGCTCAGCACTGGCAGGAGGGCTGAGAGCTCCCTGCAGGAGGAATCTTGGCAGGGCTGCACACGGTGAGTCTGTGGCTGCAGGGCATTGCAGGGGCAGCTCCTGGAGGCATCTCCTAAAGCTGGCCCAGCCCCAGCTGATGGGATGGGTGAGCAGGGGCTGTTTTGGGGCACTTTGGAAGAGCTGTGAAGCTGGGGGTGCAGCCAGGGGTGCCCAGGGCTGTGGGGCAGAGCAGGGTCCTGCAGCCCAGGGCGCTGTGCTGGGCAGGGACTCTGCTGCCTGCCAGGGGCAGCTCTCAGCCAGCCCGGGGAGCTGCTGCCAGGGCTGGGGCAGAAGGGCTGTGGGCAAGGAGGAAACCTGGCAGCTGAGGGAGAACCTTTTCCATGTCTCAGTGTTACAGGGTCAGACCTGCTCACAGCTCCAGACCACTACACCACATTGAATGGAGAAGTTTTTGCAAAGCTCACAAAAGACAGGGGCTACAGAAAGGAATTAGTCCTGAGGTGTGTTTCCTGCTTAGGCATTGTAGCAGAGACATTGTTCTCTCAGGTCAGGAGGCTGCACTGAAATTCCAACTCTTTTACTCTCAGAGGTGAATATTTCAGGCAGGATCAGAGATGAGCACAGGATCCTGGGCAGTGCTGAGCCTTCCCTTGGGGGTGGGCACTCTCCTGTCCCAGCCCTTGGCTTCTCTGCAGGAGGGCTCCTGTCCTGCTCTGTCCAGCACAGCTGCACCTCTGGGCTGGCACAGGGGACACTTCACAGAGCTGCCCTTTCAAGCAGCGCTGTCCTGCTCTCAGCACAGATCTTGGTGGGGTTTTTAAAGATGAATCTGTGTGTGAAGTCATCTTCAAGGCAGCACAAGGGAAAGTGCAGAGCAGATGGGAAACAGGCTGAGAGGCACTGCAGCTCTCCTGGCTCTGCAATAAGCAACGGAGAGCTCAGCCCTTCTGCCTGTCCTGTCTCAACACTCTTCAGATTTGTCATGAGAAAAATTTGCCCCTAAAAAAACACACCCCAGGTGTTATGATTGTAACCAAAAAATCCTGTCAAAATTATTTAAGGATACACTCTGCCTCTCTTCTGCAGCCCAAATTGCTCCAAGACAACAGAACAGGAATTGAACTTTTCCATCAAACCTGGGTTCCATGTGACATCCCCTGTGATCATGAGAGCTGTCCCAAACCAGCTCCATGTCTGCACTGCAGCAGAGCAAAGCTGAGTCCTTGGCAGCACATGGGCAGAGCTCCTGCTCCTCACAGCACCCTCAGAGAGCACAAACCAGAGAAAAGAAAGGCCTTGACTTGGAGGGGATTTCCCTGAAAACTGCACTGGCTTTGCTGAGAGGGGGCTGTCTTAATTGTTCCCTGTGCTTTCCTTTTCTGAACAGATCCTGTGCTAAGAAGCAGCAAATGTCCAACAGCAGCTCCATGCCCCAGTTCCTCCTCCTGGCATTCTCAGACAGGCGGGAGCTGCAGCTCCTGCACTTCTGGCTCTTCCTGGCCATCTCCCTGGCTGCCCTCCTGGCCAACGGCCTCATCCTCAGCGCCGTAGCCTGGGACCACCACCTGCACACCCCCATGGGCTTCTTCCTGCTCCACCTCTCCCTCACAGACCTGGGCTGCATCTGCACCACTGTCCCCAAAGCCATGCACAATTCCCTCTGGGGCACCACAACCATCTCGTACCATGAATGTGCTGCACAGCTCTTTTTCTTTTTCTTCTTCATCTCAGCAGAGTATTTCCTCCTCACCACCATGTGCTACGACCGCTACGTTGCCATCTGCAAACCCCTGCACTACGGGACCCTCCTGGGCAGCAGAGCTTGTGCCCACATGGCAGCAGCTGCCTGGGCCACTGGGTTTCTCTATTCTCTGCTGCACACAGCCAGTACATTTTCCCTGCCCCTGTGCCAGGGCAATGCCCTGGGCCAGTTCTTCTGTGAAATCCCACACATCCTCAAGCTCTCCTGCTCACAGTCCTATGTCAGGGAACTTGGGTTCATGGTGTTTGGTGTCTGTTTAGCATTTGGTTGTTTCATTTTCATTGTTTTCTCCTATGTGCAGATCTTCAGGGCTGTGCTGAGGATCCCCTCTCAGCAGGGACAGCACAAAGCCTTTTCCACCTGCCTCCCTCACCTGGCCGTGCTCTCCCTGTTCCTCAGCACCGCAGCATTTGCCTACCTGAAGCCCCCCTCCATCTCCTCCCCATACCTGGATCTGGCACTATCAGTTCTGTACTCAGTGGTTCCTCCAGCACTGAACCCCCTCATCTACAGTCTGAGGAACCAGGAGCTCAAGGATGCCATGAGGAAACTGATAACTGGGTGTTTTTCAGAAGCAATAAACTCTCCTTCTTCTGCATGTTATCTTCCTCATTAAAGGCCAATCCTGTGATGTATTTCATTAAAGGCCCACCATATCTTCTCTATTTTTTACTCCTGGTAGGGTTGTTATTTTGTGAGAATTTGTTCACATCAAAAAATCTTTATATATATAAAAGTATATATATATAAACACCATTTTCAATTCAGTGTTTCCCCTCTAGCCTGGCCCAGAGGCTGTACAAATTGGCAATTGTACTTGCTGTGTGCTTAAGCCAAATAAAGAACTCTGTATTGACTTGTTTGCCTGACATCTTTCCTCTCTGACTTCTCTGCAGCTGCAGGGTCGGTGCCTCTGTGCAGAGCTGGGCCAGAAAAGAGTCCCAGCAGAGCAGCACTGCCAGGGAGCAGCAGCCCTTCTCCTGCCTGGCCTCCTCTCCCTTCCCTTCCACACTGTCCTGCAGAGCCCTGTGTTGGTGGAGGCCTCAGTGCTCTGGCAGTCGGTCCCAGTCCTGCTGCAGGACTGTCCAGGGACTGCAGGCAGGGACAGCCACGGGCACTGCTGGCACAGAGCTGACCTCTGCAGCAGCACTGCCATCCTGCAGGGGCATCTCCTCAGGGCAGGGCCTCAAAGCTTCCCTCTGCTTTCCACTTTGCTCTCCAGGATGTGCCCAACACAACGCCCTGCAGAGGAAACCAGCAGTGACCAGCACAAGGGGGGGAGTGCTCAGGGTGGGGGCACCCAGCAGTGCCCTGGCACAGCCAGCGCCGCTCCCAGCACTGGCCTCTCACCCCAGGCCATTGGGCTTGTTCTTCCCTCCAAGGAGGGACAGCAAATGACCAGCTCAGGAGTCCAGGTTTGCACTGCATGGACAAGACATGCCCCTGTGTCACGGCTTGGGGCTGGGGGGTGGAAGGCTTAGACAAAGTTGATGGCAGAAGCCGTC